ACAGTTTTTGGCAAGTTTCACTCTGTTCTCATCTCTTAACTTGACAGTACTGACTGGATTTGAACGGCACTAGGGTGAAATGCACACCACAGCATTATCTATCCTAATAGGAAACTCTGTACTTCCTCCGATCCTTCTGAGAGCTGTGGCCATTGGGGGCTGTGGATCAACAACACCTGACAGTTTTTGCATAGTATTGGCCTAGATAGAGTAAAGATTCTCTACATAAAGTGGCCTGTTTTTGAGAGGTTGTGTAAAAAGAAGAAACAGGGGGTTTTTTTTTTTTTTTTTTTTTTTTTTTTTTTTTTTAATCTCCCTCAGCCACAGCAGTCCCTTGAGTCAGCCGCCACATCTCAATAACAGGAAATGTAGTTGATGCTGTTGCTGCTATTATCACAGCAGTCCAGCCTCGGGGCCTTTAGTCTGTCCTCAGGGAGTCACAGAGGAATGTCAGAAGCACAACACAGTATCCCTCTTGTTGTTGTTTCAGGCGTGAAGGGACAGTTGCTTCTGGAACACATCCACCGATGAAGAATGATCCCAGTAGCCACATGAGGAGTAAACACCTCACTAACCCTGGAATAATACAGAACTGCTAACTTGGCACTGTCTGTTATTGTTGAGCTTAAAAGAGTAGTAACTTCTATACCAAGTAACTTCTCCCCCTCAGCTCCCAGATTAGCGTGCATGCTACTGATGGAGGGTATTAATGAGCCAAAGCCTGTCGCAGCCTAACCTGCTCCATGGTAACGTATGGCCCAGTAACTAATCCATGAGGACAAAGTGCTTTGCTTCTGCCCTTGTCCCAGCGCAGTGTATACAGGGAAGGGAACTGGATGTGCCATGCTAGTGTAATGCCTGTTGAACTTCAGAGGCTAAATGTGTGTTTCAAAAGCAAAGTGGATTGTTTTAAAATATTAATCAGAAATTAGTAAAGCCCTGTTATGTTGAAACGCTGACTCACAAAAGCAGTACACTGTTTAATAACTGGAAACAGCACAAAATAGAAGAAACTGGCTACAAGATGAGGAAACAGCTGGGGTACATGGAGCTACACACAAATGGCACAGAAAGATGAACAAAAGTGAAGCAAATGAAAAGGAGAAACTGTGTTAGCCATTTATTAGGCTACAGTCTGCCTATACAGTAGCCTCAGGGCTACAACTGTGTGATTTCCCTTGCCCACACACTTGAACTGTAGTGAAAGCAAAGGGTGAATGAGTGCACTGCATACACCTACTCCTCTGACATATCCTTCACTCCAACACTTACTTTCGCAAGGCACTGTATCCTTCACTCCAACACAAAGGTAAACTGGAACGTGATGTTACCCAAGTCCCATTGATGAGGCCCTCATTGTATGACTGAAAATGATTGTCTAGCTCAGTGCAGTACGGGTTTTTTGGCAGGTGAATGAAATGGGGCCAGCAGTACAATACAGTTTGGCCAGCCTCATCATATGGACCCCCATGATTGCTGGCAGGGAGCCCATCATTGAACTGCTGTTTCTGTGTTTAAGTGCCAGTCCTCATGGAAAACATTACCAGTTCTGCAGCGACTGCTATCCTTCCTATCCTTGTGCTCTGATCTGTATTTTAGATTGTTTTGTTTCTGTGCCTCCGTGGTCTCTCTCAAAAACTGGTTCCTGAAACTTCTGTCAAAACAGCATGTGAAAGGAGCGTTTACACTGGACCATGGCTGAATATAGGAAATGCTTTAATGTCTATTTAAGTTTCAATCATGCAAAAAAAAAAAAAGATGTAAGGAAGGAAGTATATGTATA